TTGCCTCCTTTCAGAGGGGCCAGGCAGGTATAGCCTGAGCCTGTCCTTATCTGCTTATCTGCTTTCACTTCCCTTATTTCCTCACACTTCCTGTGGACAACCTTCAAAGCATCTCACTGCATCCCTCGCACCCTGGTTGAGGATCACTGCTCTAAGCTAAGAGCACTCCAAAATCAGATTTTCTCTGGCCTTATATTTTAAAGATCCATAGTGGGGAAAAAAACCCCTCAACAGAGCTTGCCAGATATTTGGTAAAATTATTTGATATATTTAGTTAAAAAAGGTCAATGTTATTTGGACATCTATCCAGTGGAGTGAATGATGGTAAAAAGCAAAAAAAAAAAAAAAGCAAAAAAACCCAAACAAACCAAGAATGTATTTAGTGCCAAACACCATTTTTAAGATGTATTATTTAGTGAGGAGTATGCAACCAGCTCTATCCCCAATATTCAGTCAACCCCACCCTGCATGACCTTCGGGTGCTGAATAACTTATGTACGCAACGTGCATTCAGCCACAATGCTAGAAAGTGGAGAAGGAAAAAATAACCTGCCAAACCAAACCCCCACTATATGAGGCTTGCAAAAGCCAGTCAAATTCACCACTACAGAACTCTTCTTTCTGTCTTTCAGGGATACAGGTTGCAGCCATGTTGGTCTACAGGCAAAAGGAATCAGAACTCATGGTAGAGGTGATATCTTTTATTAGACCAACTAGATATTTGCAAAAAAAATTCTTTATTTGCAAGCTTTTGGGCACACACCCACTCACTCTTCCTCAGGCATAGGAGAATGCAACAATTGTAAGGTTTCTCCTAGGGGGAAATTTCACACATCTAGTTGGTCTAATAAAAGAAATCACATCTACCCAAAAAACCTTCCCTGCCTATCACCTCTACCACGGGTTCTGATTCCACTAAAGAATTGTAATGTTAATGGATCACAGGTACAGAGACATAGGCCTAAAGGGCACATTGTTATTCAGTAGGTTAACCATTTTCAAGACAGAGCCAAGTCCATTTAATTTACCAAATGATCTAAGATGTAAATGGGTGTATAGGTAAAAATGCAGCAAAAACTAAATATGTACCAGCTAGGATAAGAAACCTAGAACTCATAATAAAGCAGGGCTGAGAGCCCAGATTAGGAAAGAGCGTATTTCAAAGTGTAAAAACAACAATGCAGACACCCACTGTTATGAGCAACGAAGGGATGAGGAAACTGTGGTTAACAGCCTACAACCAGCCCTGGAAATGGCAGCGCCGTGTGGGTTAGAATGTGAATCAGGAAGAAATAATTATCAGAACAATCTCAGCCTGCTTGTATTAAGGGGCATCAATACATATTTTGTTACATTTCCACATAAATACCCAGTGCCACGGAGAGATCCTGGTTCCCTCTGGTAATCTAGATACCTAAGCTTTCATCTCACTCTTTAGATGTGTAGAAATACACCGTTTTCACTGCTCTGCTGCTTCACCCCCCGGGCGCACACAACCCCCTTTTCCATTACCTATACACAGCGGAATTCACCTGATCTCCAACGGAAAAGGCTGCAACACAAGTAAATGACCTGAAAGCACGATTACTAATTATACATACCACCTTCCACGAACACACCACTTTATTTGCAAACAGTGAGGAGCTGCTGGTGTTGCTGCTTCTTTCCCAGTCTTTCCTGAGGTCATGGCTTTTCCCAAAGAATGCTGGGATTGTAGTCCGGCTTCTCCCAAGGTGTTTAACTTTGTATTGTCAAAGACTACAACTCCCAGAATGCCTTCTTGCCAGCATTTCCCAGGCAACATCCTTGAGAATCTGCTCCTACAGCCTATTCCTGCCATCCCACTGTTGCGTAATGTGATAAAGCGCTAAAATTATCATCTGATGAAGTAGGTTGTTGCCTATGAAAGCTGATGACTTTCTGAACCAGTTATTATTGCCTAAGGTGTCAACCTGCCCTGCCTTCTGCTTTGTTAGCAGGCAAGGATTGTTAAGAGTGATTTAGGCTTTTTGTTGGTCATAAATCATGCGTTAAACTAGGAGAAGCCACCTCTTATGCATACAGATTTGAGTATCTCTGCCAGGTTTCTTTTCCAGTACCAGCACTTAAAAAGAAAAAAACCCAAAAACCCAGCTCTGCTACCATTAGAGATCAAGTTATTTTTTTCTTTCCCTTTGTTATACCTGAGATTTTAAAGGGGTGATATTTTCAAATTCTTTTCCACAACAGCAACACCAAAGAGCATTTTAAACCTTACAATAAAAATCCTAAAGGGTCAATAGTTTGTGCCTGTGTTTTATAGTAGAGAATAAAGGGAGGGTAGGGAAATAAAATGCAGGAAAAGGATGCTAAAGTCTTGGACTGCCTCCAAAATCATCTGAAAGCACAATACAAGCCACTCATGAGGCAGGGATTGAAGTGGGCCTTGTTTCTCCAATGCATTTCTCTCTATTTTCTCACCTGAGCATGCTCTCTCGAGAGCTCTGTCCTGCTATAAGATGTTCCCCATATCAGTCAGAGCCTGTTGGTTTTCTTTTACCACACAGTTCTAAAAGAAAACACTGCTTCCCATGCCAACTGGCTAGAGAGGCAGTTTTAAACCTCACTTTAAAAATCTGAATTGCAAAAAAATGATGTACAACTCCTACCTCAGTTTCCATAAGGGCACTTGTTAAGCTACAAAGGAGTCCTGCTGTCTGTAAGGGTGGCAACCAAGCTGGCAGGGAAAGGAAAGGTTAGCAGAAAGACTTAAAAAAACCAAACATTTCAAGATCTGAAATGAAAGCAAAAGGATTTTCCTTCCCACAGTGGGTTCAGTAAAATGTGGACGTTTACTGCACTAAGCAGGTTTTACAGTAGAGGTCTCTTTAATTAGAATGCAAGATACAAAACAGCAGATTGGCCCACCCACATAATCAATGTCCAATGGCTAATTATAATCCGGGCAACTTCTTTCTCCAGTTATTTAATGCAATAAACAGCTGGGTTTTGTTCCATTTTGATGATAAAGGCTTTGAAACTACAAAGGTACATCAAAAATCCTATAGGGCTCACCAAGATTTCTTGAAATATAGCTTCAAGAAGTCATTGTTTCCCATATTTTGCAGAATGCAAACCAGTGAGCATGATGAGGTCCCCCTGTAAAATACTCTTTTGCAATGAAGAAAGTGCTCTGAGACTTTGACTCACTGTGCTCAATTCCTGTTGAGAGCATCTATTACCCCCAATATTGACAACAAAAATGGTAATCAGAAAGAAACAAGAACTTCATCCATATAAAAGATAAAAGAATTGGGTAACAATGACTAGTCTCTGCTTCCTTCCCAGTAATTGCTTTTAAAAAAATTTAGAGGGAGGATTTTATCTGCATACTTCTTTTCATTATACTAGTCTGATGTATCCAATATTGATTTTGCTTTGCGGCTGCTTTATAGTGGAACTTTGAAAATGTACAATGAAGACCTTTTAGTTGTTTTTTAACTAACACTTAGTGTGTGCGTTCCTTATGCTAAATCTGAATCAACTACTCTTGAGAAAAGTAGTTCTGTTCAAGAAAAGGAAGTTTACTCATTGCTCAGATGTAATCCTCTCTCACACCTTAGTATAAGCAGCGTCTGGAAGTTTTGATTAAAGACTGAACATGACCTTAGATATTTTACTTAGTCTTATTATCCATCTGAAAAACAAAGATTAGCCTAGATCTTACAGAACATATTACTGCTTTGAGTAGAGAGCAGCAGCAGCCAGATATGAACAGAAATGGAAAATTCAAGTCCTTTAGCATGTCTTCCTCTTCCATGCACCGACTTTAGCCTGTTACACTTCATCAGATTTTCATCAGTTCATAAAAGGCACCCAAATAATACAAACTTATTTCTGTGCAAAGGATAGAGAACAGATCCTACACTTCATGCTCTGTGCACTGAGGAATTGCTCATGTCCTCATGCTGAACTTCCCCCCAGAGAACCAGGAGTCCCCAGGAAATATGAAACCAGAGCAACCATCTCCTAGGTTATTGCAGCATATTATCATGTTTCTGCTCTTTTCCTCAGACAGTGCTAGGATTTTTATCATCTACTTGGCAAAATTCAGAAAAGCTTGTGAAGCCCAACTGTAAAGGCTGCAGCCAGCATAGAACCAGGGTGCAACTCACTGCCTACCTCCGCTCTACGCAGCAGCCAAACACTCTAGACCCAGGTTTTCCAACTTTTAAGTAGACACAGGCTGTACCAGCAGGGCTCTGGGTCCTCGGGAATGCACAGTATGACCCCCACTGCACTGCATGCAACCCAGCAGCTCCCCAATCTCTTGCACTGCATGCTCCTGTGGACCCCAACCCCTGGGTGCACTGCACATTCCTGCGCCACCTCCCCCTCCTGCCACTGCACTGCATACTCCTGTGGTTCCTCTCTTACTCTTCCCTGCTGCACTGTGTACGCAGGCACTCTACCTCAGCTCAGCTCCCTGGCCAAGGGATCTTCCACTACGCCGCATCTCTTGGGCACCCCAGGCCATAGGCTCCCACAGCACCCCAGGCTGTGCCATGCTGCACTGCCACATCCCCTGAGCAGGGTAGGGGAAGCCAGAGGGAGAGAGAGCCTGGAGACCCCAGCTGCAGATAGAGCAATGAGGGGCAGTGGCACCTAAGTGGGAGACCAAGGCTGCAACTGAATCCCTCACAGGCTGACAGTTGAGCTGACCTTGTCAACAGGGTAGAGAGGAGATGGAATGAAAAGATCTGGGGTCATAACTATATACTTCACCTAGGAAACATTTTTAAAATATATTATATCCCTTTAGTATTTAGATGTTCTGCACTGAATCAGATTTGCAGATTCTTCACTTCTGAAAAAGAATTAGCAATTATAAAATAGGAAGCCAAAGCATAGGTGCATACACGGCATAAGTCATCATCCTGCACTTATCTTCTAAAGCTAAAATGCTTTAGGAAAAAAAAACGCATTTGTTTCTTAATGCTAAATGAATAGTGATTGCTGTATCTTAGCCCATAGGCCAAGCAATGCCTTTATTTTAAGAATTCTTCTTCAAAGCTTGAGTGTGCAAAAAGCTTGTAAGCATTCATTATGATTAAGAAAAAAACCAAGACCATGTGTATGAAGAATTATGCATTTGTTTCGAAGAAAATTCACTATATATCACTGCACTATATTGTTTAAATCTTCACAATGTTAGGAAATGTTTTAAAATTAAATGTATTCCTCACAATATATGTGCCAGATTAGACTTTTCAGGTTTGCTTTTATGACAGGGTAAGAGTTCAAACCATACTGGCATGGGTTCAGGGAACAATGAAGTCAAGTTCCATTTCATGATGGCCGAGTACACTCTTGTCAACATATAGATTTGGCATCTAATCAGAAGTCCAAAAATTAAACCAACATCCACCAAAGAATGAATTCCAGCATTTAATTATCTGCTATACTTCCAAAGCCTGCAAAATGTGAAGTTTCTTTTTGTGATATTCTTCATTCTCTTTCTCTGTTTCTTCATCTAGTGAGTTTCTTATACAGGTTTTCAGTTCTTCAATTCCTTCTCCAGTAAATGTTGAGATGGGGATTATATCTTTAAACTCTATGGTGCTCTGTGGAATCATCTCTTTCTGCAGCAAGTAGAAAAAGTCTTAAAAAAAACAAACCCCAACACACTTATGGTTAGTGCACAGTATTTCTTTATAAAGCAAAAATCTTCACTAACTGCACTTTAGATGGATATTTTAGGCTAAATGAGCATAAAGCTGTTCACAAGGGGGCACGTCTACATGTGTACTTTAATTAACACTAGCCTACAGGCAGTCCTCAACTTAAGATGTTTTGAGTTACAACGAACAGCACTTATGACATTTACAAATTGACACGGTTTTGACTTTGACATCAGTTTCGACTTTACGATGCTTGATCTGATGCCACGCCACACCAGACAGCAAGTTCGCTGTGTCGCCCATCTCCCTGGAGAACATCTGTCCAAACTTCTTTGGACACTTTCTTTAAGAAAGCAGACAAGACCCCAGAAGAATCTGCAGCCAAGACTCCTGAGAAGACTCCAGCCAAGAACCCTTCAAAAAGTCCAGCAAAATCACCTCAGAGAAGTCCTTCTAAATCAGTATGACTGCTATTTACAATATAAATACACTAATGTAGCTATATTACTCATCTATAATTGATTGAGTACAAAATTCTGGGTTATTTTTGGTGAAAATACGGTATTGGGCTTGGTTCAGGAACCAATCCCCCATTTATAACATTGTTCCTATGGGAAAATCAGTTCAGAGTCGCAACATTTTGACTTAGGACACGGTGTTCAGGAACCAACTGTGTCGTAAGTCCGAGGACTGCCTGTATTTTACTGCACATTAAAGCATCACAAAAAAACGTGCTCTTTAGCTAATGTGCATTAAAATAGGCTAATGTGCATTCTTCTCGTATCTCACAATGGATCTAGTACTAGATCTAATGCACGTTACCTAAAACACATTAATGAACATATAGACATGCCCCTGCAACTGCAATATATACATGTAAAACATTTATTTTAAAACATACCAAATTTAAGACAGACAGGAATGCCCTAGAACACAAGTTCTAGTAACTGCAGTTAAAAGTATGTTTTTCTTTGCATTAAAAGTATGTTTTTCTCCCCTCAGGATATGATTCTGATCTTTGCTTCTGAGCACAGAGGACACGGGGGGACTAAGGAAGTCAGAAGCCACCCTTGTGCTCTCCCAATTCAAGGTTGATCTGCTAGGATGTTGTCATCCCACTGCAGCCTATTACCCATGAAGGCCCAAGACAAAGCAAGCTTATAAGTAGCTGCCCAAATCTCCACACCAGGGTAACCCAACCCTGACTACAAAATGTCCCGTATGTAACTGGGATTTCAAGCAGATCCTTTGGAGCCATCTGTGCAGGGGGGGGTTTCTCTTTCAAAAAAACTGAACATTTAGGTTCCTTTTACTCTTCCTACACAGACAAAGAAGCTAATGACTTTTCCTCTGTCTGTGGAGCTCCCATAAGGATTCCACCATACATCTATATGAACGTATTTCTTTCCATACAACTGTTGTCACTTATAAATGTATGTTCAGTGAATAAAATACACATTTTTGTGGTATGTGAGGTTTACTTGTGCTTACACAAGTTTTTTTTTATGTACTAGACAATAAAAATTGTATATGGATTCAGCACATACTGCAGTTATGTTAGTATATTGATAGCATTTATTGAATTGTGTAAGGTTTTCTAGTTTACATGTTGCTTCTGAACACTTGTACTCAGGTTCTAACCAGACATCCCAGAAATGTCTAAAGGCAGGCAAAAAAGAAGAACTTCTTAATGTTGTTACTGTGCAATATATACAGTATATATCAGAGGGGGGAAGGTATTAGTTTAAGAGCTAGTGGTCACCATTCTCTCCTTAAAAGAAGAAATCTTTTTCAGTGGTACTGTTTTGTCTAATTGACACCTTCCAAGGACTGATTTGCATCCAAGAGGAACTGGTTTGCATTAGTTTATAGAGAATCTCAGGACAAAAAAACCTTTCCAAATTTCTGAGTCTTTTGCTTTCCAACACTTATCTCCCTCCCCAATCTGCACTTGTTTCTTGGTCACTTGGTTTGAGAAATACCAGTGTATTCTGCTGTTCTGTGATTCCAAAGGGAAAGCAAAAGGAAGGAAAGTTGGTAAGGACACTTATTTTTTGTTTGTATAAAATTAATAAGTCAGCACCTAATATTTCCATTTGTGCTATTTAAATAATCTCCTTGTCATCGGAAGTTGTTAACTAGCAAAGGTGTAAACTGAGCAACATTAATTAAATTGATTTAAATATTGCAGAAAAATGAAGACTCTTTTTGCCTATTCTACTACTCAGCTTATCATCAGGTAGCAGATACTTCTGAAAATACTTACAATCAACTTGTTTACAATTTGATTAAGTGGGTCACTTAAAAAAAAAGCTGCAGTATATTAGTTTAGTTTACCTTCAGGCTTCTGTAACTGTTTCAGAAGTTCATGCAGGTTATCCTGTGCATTAGGCAAGTCCATTTTATTCACAGCAAGAAGAGCAGGCTTTGTCTGAAGTTTCTCATTGTATAACTCTAGCTCCTTAAAGTAAAGGTTAATTTGCATTTGTAAGATTTTTTTTCACTTTAAAAATACTTTTTAGTTTTCTTTTCTCCCTCCCAATCAACTGAAAGGCCATCACACTACTGACTAGGCAGTGAAATTTACTTTAGTACATTGACCTGAAGCACATGAGTAGTTTGATAAAAGAACCAGATGTTCATTTAAACTCAGTGGGCATGTCTACATGAGACCCTTTACTGTGCAGCAGATTAACTTGCTGTGAAGTAAAGTGTCACTGTCTACACAGGCGTGACAATTAGGGTGTAACAGACTAATTTGCTGTGCTGCCAGATATTACTTGTAACTGATGAGACTATCTGGCAGCGTAGTAAATTACTGTGCTTAAATGCATGTGTAGACTGTGACATTCAAATTAGTTTACTCGGGCTCAAATTGAGCTGGAGTATTTTCAGTCACATTAATTGCTTGTGTAGACACGCTCATCTTGTTTACATGCATTCACTGTAGATATGCACCATATACAATTCTGACTCATTTCTCATAATGATGATGGACAGCTTTGTTCTTTTTATTCATATCTACATTAGGACACATACAAAACATTTATTCCTATTTTGTTACAGTTCTGAAAACTTTCAGCAAACAAAGTCTACGACAACTTTTTAAAAGAAGGGAAAGTTTTGGCTATCTTCCATATTCTTAAATTTAAAAATGTACAAGACCCTCTTCTGTACCAAAGATATTAAAAATGCAAAAAAAAATCACACAGCAAGGAAACATACATTAACATATGCTAACACAGAAAACAAGTTACAGGACTTGGGAAAGAAAAAAATCAGTACAAGTGCAATATCATCTTTAAATATATTATTTAAAAATCATACGTGATGATGAAAACTCATAACAGAATAAGGCATGAGATCCAGAACTAGTCCCCAACAGGGAATGGTTTCTGCAAAGCTGAAGACTGAACAGGCTCTTGGGACCAATTTTGTGACCTAATGGACCTGATGCCTAGGGTTTAGCAGCATACTCATTTCCATTCCTCAGAAAACTAACAGTCACGTATGTGAGTGAAAAGATACAATTTGAGCCAAATCAGTTGATACTACATTCAACCAGGTTTATCTCAAACCAGTTTCAGCTATTCTCAAACTGGTTTATGTGCACTGAACATCTGTTCTGTTACAGCCTTAAACCAGTTTCTGATCACTTAAACCGGTTTGTGTGTAATATCTGTCCCTAGCTTTAAGATTTCAAACAAGAAGTATCCAGTACTCTTCCTTGGCAGGATACACCATTACTATTTATGGGGATAGGAAATTACCTTTGTAAGAAGCAGAATAGATTCAAAAGCTGTTCTGAACATAGTTTTAAGAGAGAGCCGAAAGCCAGAGACATCAACCTAAAAAGAAAGATAGAGTTACAAAGGAACTCCCTCTCCACAAGTCCTACCATTGTCTAAAAAACCCAGGCCCAAGAATACTTTTTTATGGGAATTTTAATCCACAAAAGAAACATAGGAGTAGAAGGGACCATCTGGGTCACTGGGGTTAAGTGCAGCCCCCTGCAATCTTTAATAAACTTGCAATAGCATTCATTACATTAATAACCATCAGTTTATTTAGATTTCCATAATACACACTATGTTAAATTATATGTTTACCATAAAACACGAGAACAGCAATAAATATTTTTCCCTGAAAGCTGGTTACATTAAGACAGTGGTTCCCAACCATTTTTAGATTCAAGGCATCTCTCATTAGATGTAAGGTGCCTTCACAAAATGCTACATCTTATTTTTCACTTGTTTTTTGACTGTAGAAAAACAACAGAGCAGTTTTCCTGCTGCAAAGAACTCAGAAAGACCACAACAGGTCAAAATAATTTTAATTTTAGAGATTTGTATTTGAAATCTGGGTTTATCTTGTGAATCATGTTTGCACATCCAACACTGCTAATACTGCACAGCACATCCTGTGGCACTGCTGCATCCTGGTTAAGAATCATCGTATTTAGCCTTGCAGGATCATAAGTTTTATAGGATAAGAAAATAAGTCTGAAAGGGACCTCATAAAGTCCCCTAGTCCAGACCCTGCTCAAGACAATCCCTAAAACAAACTATCCTAGCCAAGTGTCTGTCTAACCAGTTCTTGAAAATGTCCAGGGACAGAGATTCTGGAACCTCTTTAGGTAGGCTGTTCCAATAACTGACCACCCACAAAATCAGAAAGGTCTTTCTAATTGCTAATCTAAATTTCCTCTGCTTCACTTTAACATCATTGCTCCCAGTTCTATCCCCTACAGCCACAGAGAAAAGGCTATCTTCATCATCTCCATAACTGTCCCTCAGGCAGTTGAAGAATGTTATCAAATCTCCCTCCTCTCCCCCCACTCTTCTCCAGACCAAATAATCCTAGCTCTTTCAGCCTTTTCTCATAAATCATACTTTCCAGGTATCTAATAGTATTTTTTGCTCTCCACTGGACTCTTTCCACATTCTTCTTGAAGCGTGGGGTGCAAAATTGGATGCTTACTCTAAGTGAATCCTTACCAGTGCCAAAAAGAGCAAGTAGGCTAAATACAGAGAAATGGTTAAACAGATTCACAAGCTAAATTCGAGCAGCCATTGACGTTAATATAATTACTTACAACAAAGAGAAGTTGTTTGGTTCTTTCTACATGCTTGAGAAATTTATGACCCATTCCCCTGTTTACATGAGCACCTTCAATCAATCCTGGAAGATCAGCTACTGAGATCTAGGAACACAAGAAGTGAAGATACTCAGAGGGAAAACAGTACCCAGTAAGATTTTTAAAATGGTCAATACTCCAGACATATCTATATTCGTGAGAAAAAATAAAATAGGTATCCCACAAATACCTCTGAGACAACGCTTTTTCAGCTATTTATTCCTTATTCACTGGCAATATCTACAAGCCTTTGCAACACATTTAAAATAAGTCTGATTTAAACGAAGAAATTGCAGAAACATCACTTCTGATGCTACTTCTCAGCAACTTAGAAAATGAAGTATTAATATTTCAGCAAGGTCTTGCAAAATTCATTTATCACTAGAGAAGAGAAGCTCTCTAGAAAGTAGGAAGATTAGGCCACTAGTCCAGACTGGACTAAAAATGCTACTAGACTAGAAAACAAAGTATGTTCCTTACAGTTGCAGAGATACTTTTCGAAATGTGAATTTAGACAGAACTGTCCTCCAGGGTCTGTGGGCAAACTCATTTTTTTCTCAAGCTAAAATTAACTGTTTGGTTAAGTGTCAAAGCAGACAAGACTCTTGTTATTTTCACACTACTGCTGCTTGAGAACATGTCAAGCTCCATCAGAAATATGTGCCAGATGCTCTTTTGTCTGTTGTCTTAGATAGGCAGGAGATAAATGACCCCTCCACTCCCCACCATCTGGAAAATGGTTCAGTCACAGGGCTTTAGAAGGGAACAAGCAAGCAGAGGAAGCAAAAGATTCATCTTCCAGTCCAGAAGTCAGGAATATAGGGGCTGCAAAACTACTCAACCCTTATTAGCCAGAGGCCTGGGCTACAGTAGCTTTGCCAGCAGAATGTATGTTGTGTCAGCCAAACTGCAAATATATCCACTGTAAGTGTGCACAGATCCCTATGACGGAGAGCTCTCATTCTGGTGGGAGAGCAATATCTACTCTGTAAGTGATACAATTCTCCTACCATGGGAACCCTGCCAGAAAACACAGGCAGATGTGCCCAGATTTTCTACCAGCAGCTGCAGCCTGCTTGAGCAGCTGGTGCCTACCAAAATGCACTGGGGTCCTTCACAATTCAGCTACTGTACTGGAACTGCTTCTGCCTGTGCAAAAGGAAACATTCTCCGTTGGGCTCCCCTGTAGCAACAGCTGTCTGATAGCAGATGCCCTGCAATACAGACAAACCAAAAGGCTGATCTAAGGGCTGAATGTTGAGAAGGTCCCAAGGCTAATATATGCTAGGACTCTCAGCATCCTACTCTTCTCCCCAACCCCAGAACTATGGGACTGGCCTTCTATAAGGCACTTTGCTGGTAAGCAAACTCCTGCTCATCCATCATGCTAGCCTCTGGCCAGTAGAGACATTAACTATGTATTTGTATATTTTTATTTACATAACCTATGTATTTAAACTATGGGAGGAATAAAGGAATGTAGAGACCAACTGAGCATCTGTGAGTGAAAAGAAACAGGGATTAGCGCTGTATCAGTTTTAGAAAAATGGAAAAAAAAATACAGAATGAATGAGAAGTTCCTGCTGAATTTAGTGACAGACAGTTTTGGGTACTAAAAGCTGTCCCTGGGTATTCAGTGGAGAAAGATATGCCACAGAGTAATGGTTACTGATTTCCAGAAGGCCCCTCTTTTCCAGGGTTAAAAACTATTCCATTATCTGTTGCAACGGTTTAGGCTATTTCAGATTTCTCCTCTTCTTAGAAGTTGCCAATTTTCTCTTTCAATTAAGGGACACATTTTACCATTAATTCCGATTGTGAGTTGTGCACATGAATGGTAGACCCTAGCTCCCATTCACAGCTTTGAGATCCCATCAGAGATTTATATAGTCCTAATTTGGGGAATGCATTGAATTCCTACACACCTTCAAAATCTTGGGCAGGGGTGTTGGCCTGATTACCTCAGTTTTCTAAAGCATTTTAATCAACGCACAAGAAAACAAACAAATGAAGTGGTTAGTCATGATGTCAAACTCCCACCACACATTCATCAACTATTTAGGATTAACAAGTTCCATAGGAACAGCATAAAGGTTTTCTTTAGATCAATCAGAAAAATACTATCCTTTAAATATTAACAGTAGCATATGAAAAAAGATATAAACAAACATATTTTGCTTGAAGTAAGATGGTGGTTTCCTCTACAGCTGCTTCAGTTTTATATTTCATGCAACCAAACAACTCAGAATCAAAATTCTCTGCTTTCCTAGTATTTCTCTAACATACAAAACCCAAACGTGTGAACAGACATTCTATGTAATATTTTAGACAAATCTTATCTTACTATAAAAAAAAGCACATGGAGATGCAAGAGTCACATATACCCCTTGGGTGTCATCGTCAAATTATCTATGGTCTAATCCTGCAAGATCCTGAATATTCTCCTGAGGTCACTGGGAATTTCTTGCAGGACAAGGAATATACATATACATATGTACAATATACATATATAGCAAATATAAGTGATGTTACACTGATTTTAATACAGGGACATAAGGCACTGGTGTTCAGATACTCAGATGTGTAGTACATAGCAAGTTTTTCTCCTCTGATTATACAAGGCTGCAAGGTAAAAAAAAAGTATCTTTCCTTTTATTTTTATTCAACAAAAATGTCAAGAAGTGTTACTTCACATTTCTAGGGCAAAATACTACAGAAACTATTAGTTTTATATTGAAAACAAACCCATATATTTCTACTGTTTTCCAAAGAAACCCAAACTCAGGACAGAGTTTTTAGGTTGTTTTTTTTTCAGATTCTGGGTAGGTAATATATTCCTAGTAAATACTGAACAACTTAAAAGCACTCATTTGTTAGATGTGCAGGTGGAACAGGAAAGCTGACTGGATTTAGATGCTAGACTATTAGTAAATTCTAACACTTTGTAAACAGAAAGAACCAGGATTCTATTGGGGAGGGTGAAAGAGTTCCTAATTTCACACAGTTAAAAACTACAAGAATTTTCTCTCACAAGAAAATGGAAAAAACCCCCAGTTAATTTAAGGTTATGTTCCAGAATTAGGTTCCACTACAGTAGAAGAACTGATAGGTTTGGAGCACTACAGACATTTAACTAGTCAGCTATACCCTATGTGTAACATCTAGAAAGGGACTTTCTATACCAACCTGTTTAAAATCTGGATATATAATCTTTCCAAGTTCAGGTTTTACTGTTGTAACTGGAGCAGGAAGTAAAAAAACCCAAAAACAAAAACAAAAAACTTTGTTACATTCAGTTTTTAATACAAAATCTTCATGCCTTATTTTTTGGAATCAATTACTCTTATTCCTGTAACATTTTCTCTAGTTTAATTATTGTACAATGAAAGATAAAATGACATTGTAGTGATTTTTACTGCTCAGTAACAGATATGCAGGTTCAAATATGAACCAAAATATTGTTAATAATTAATGCCACTTTTTTTATGGTTTAACCCACCAACTTTTCCCCCATTCTTTTCACGGTGACTATTCCTTTTTTCTTCCGTCTCCCCTTTGCTGCTGTCAATTTTGAGAGGTCAGTGGTAAAATGCAGCCACGGTGTTTATAGCCTTTCACATTGCTTCCACCAAGCTTTTAAGGATTGCAAAGAGCTTACACGACACTGATGTACAAATACAAAATGTGAGGTAAAGTGTCTCACAGCAATTCTGCTTGTTTTTGTTGCTGTCTTTTCTCAGTTGGATAGAACTGACATTTAAAAAGGCAGATGGAACTAAAATAAAGACTGGGTCCAAAAACTGATGAGACTGGAATCGAGAGGTAAAAGATAACAAATCTGCAGTTTTTGGATTTACAAAACTGTCATCCCACCCCCACCCCCTCCCTAAGTAAAGTCTTACAGGTAAAGTCACCATGCACATAGTAAACTAGTTTTTAAAGGCTCTGACTAGTTTGGTGTGGGGGGGGTGTTGTGAAATAATGGGAATGGCCCCCTTGCCACCAATTAATCCCATCCATATGACTGGCAGAAGAAGGTCTTATAATCCCACATGGAAGTGATGTTAGATGGTAAATTATTCTGCCTGTTTCCTTCGTATCTGATGAGCAGTAAGCAAACAGAGAGAAGCAGCAGCAGGCAGGCACTACTGCATTTGCTTAAACATCTTACTACTGCTTAATGGAAATTCTACAACAAAACTGACAGCAATATGATCTGACAAATAAGTACAACTTTTGGAGGGACTGGAGTGTAATGGAAGACAAGTGTTGTTTTACTGTATGATTTACCAGTGGCAACTCTACTTCCACATGCAATGCTTATGGAAAAAGAGGGAGTTGACTGTACAGGGCTATGCTGCTTCCAGTTAGGAGTTAGCACATGTGCGTGTCTTAGTCTGTTGCTATATAGCAAGCTTCTTCATTGCCCTGGGCACTCATGGGTGGGGAAAGGACCAGAGCCATATCTGGTAAGATTTGTGCCCTCTGCAGCTATGGTCTTGGGCTGATGTCCAGGTCCCGGGGGTAGAGGCAAGAGGGCCCTAGAGTCCTGGCAGCCAAGAAGTTAAGTGCCAATCACGGCAAAGATATAAAATTCATAATTTGTTGGTGGGGGCTGTCTCTGCTCTCTCCTTTTCCTGAGCACATAGCCATCAGGACCCAAGAGCCCCCCTACATCACTGCCTGGATCCTTGATCCAATCCACAAAGCGGAAGCCTGTAACTCCTGGAGCAGCAGCACAGCCGAGTCCATCTTGGTGAACCCTTGCCTCCATTCTGTGCTACTTCCTCCCATCAATCCCCCTGTCCCCCCTGCTACCTGGCCCCTCTTCACCCACCTCTAGTTATTCTATTGCTGCCTAGAACCACAGACATGCCCTAAGCTATAACTCTATGACACTCTTATTACTTTAAAATCTCCTGATCCTCAATAGGCAACATGTGTATTCATCTACCTTTTGGAAACCTCCCCCCCCCACACTCCCCTTTTCTTTTTGAAAGTGTGCAATCAAGTCATAAGAAACACCATATGTTCTTAACCAACATAAAAAGCAATGAAACAGACTGTACTTACATGCATAATCTGCAATCTGAGGTTTGGCATGAGAAATCTTGCTTAACAAGGAGGATTTTCCTGCATTTGGAAATCTAGAAGGAAGTTCATATTTATAAATAGTTATTCGCTATATGTTATACCTTAATATATGCACTGATGCATCAACTTAATAAAACAAACTTTTATCATTTTTCTGTACTCCTGAATGCCTAACGTAAAGATCTCAAATTCTTATCTAAAGTCAATACTGTTTAGACTGCAAAGCCCTTTGAGATGATAACTATTGGTACAGTGCCTATTGCATTTACCATACTAGAATTTTACATGGTTTCTTTTTTTACAAATTTGAACCAATTACAATTTATGTACAGCACAGACAAAATAAGACTTCCTGAAATCTGTTAAATGAACTTGTTTACAGTAAACCTAAATTATGGTATGATATTAGAATATTCTTTTAACCACTGTTTCTTACACCTGTGGGGAAAATCATAAGAGAATATTCCATTCTAGATGTAATAACTGTAAAGGAAGTTTCTCCAATGTAACTTGGAAGAAAGAGAGCATGAGAGATTCTAGGTTTGCGTGTGTCCAATTTCTACATCCTGTTGCTATTTTTTTTAAATAAAATGTTCTGTCTAGCTAAAAGCCCTGAAAATTCAATGTAGAACCACTGACAGATGAACACTTCAGCAATAAAAAGAACCTATAAATCAAATACCACCTTCAATTAGACCTGAGCTACTATTGCTTTTAGTACGGGAGTACTGGAGTAATTAAGCCCATAATCTGAAGATGACAAAATCCATAAGCATCCTGAAGTCAGAACTAACTTAAACAAGTCTGTTAACAATGAATGAATTAGAAAGTAACAGTAGGGCAAGAGTGATGTAAGCATGATGGCCCAGAAATTCTGCGAGAGGTAAGGATTTCTTAGGGCCATATCTTTTATTAACTCAGCTACATAGTTTGTCCAAAATTACACAATCTTTCAAATACAAAACATTCTGCGTCAGGTCACTGATCACTGGCTTGATGAAGAATGTCTACATTCAAAAGCTTGTCTAACTTTAGACCAACTATGTAGTTGGTCCAATACAAGATATCACCCTGAGAAATCCTTGCCTCTCAGAAAATAGATCTAACTCATGGGCTAATTACAGACAGTCAGGCTAAGTACAGCTATTTGGGGGCACTAGAGAGGAGGTGGTAGGGAGCAGGAAAAACTGGAGTTCTTGGGTTTTGGGGTATTGTTTGAGGGAATCCTATCTGTAAGTTGCTGATTTATTTTAAGCTGCTCTGATCATCTGGATAGGACAGGATTTGATTCTAAAAAGCAAATAAATAATAATAATAATGTTTTCCAATGTTGGAAGAACCCCAAGAGACATGTCAAAATATTACTCTTTCCATTTCTTCCACAAAGTGGTATATTTCCAGAGGAAAAATATGATCTCTTTGAAATTAAAATTTCAACCTCTCTTATACATCACAATCTGTACCCAGCCCTGACAACCTTCTCTCAAAACAACATGATTTTTTTTAGTCTGATCTAATGGCAAACCACTTTATTATATTAACGACTAGGAGTAACAAACTCAAAAAAGATCAAAGTACAAGCAGTAACAGAATATTTGAGGTTGACTCAATCTGGGCAAGATAACAGAACAGAAAACTCACTGATTCTTTCTATGCTCTTAAACGGAAACTAGCAACTCAAAATACGATTTAAAATTAGGTTTTATTAGAAACTCCCCCCCACAACCACTGTTATAAAACGTAAGTACAAAAAAAAATATTTCCACGTGATACCATCAGGTAACCTAAAGTAAAACCACCATCCTATACTCAAGTTTCCAAGCATCATAAGTAAATGGATTGGCCTATTTTAAGTTAAAAGTGCCTTTCTGAAAATGCATCCTTCAAATTTTCCAGGCAAATCATTGTAAACAGAAAATAGAACACAACTAATTTATGGTAAATAAACAGCACTAGCATACTTTTACTGTGTTAAACACTTCTTGGGTCTGCCTTAAGAAACAAATTAAAAAAATGTTATTTTTTAATCAGTCGCAGTAAGAAGTACCAGACTAAAAACATAAAAAACCCCAAGCTTTCCAATTCTCCTATCAAAGTGCTTGGATTGAGAGTCCAAATTCCATTTGCACCTGTATACAATCCTCACCCCCCCTCCCCGAACAGTCACTTGTTAGCACTGTCACTAACAACAGCTAGACCTGGATTCAAACCAATGTATTAAGCCTAGCTACTATTCAACCCATTATGACCAATCCACTATAACTGTAAAATTGATGTTCGTAGCAAAAAACCCCCAAAGAACCAAACCAAGCAAATATGACACCTAATGATGAATTCTTAAAATATTAAATAGTAAGACTTATCCATACTGTCACCCTTTCCCTAAATTTAAAAACTTCTTTGCAACCTCCTTTGATTCTAAGTGTTTAATTCTCAGACACGGTCAAAAACCACAGTACTCACCCAACTAAGCCAACATCTGCTATAAGTTTGAGATCAAGACGAACAATTCGTTTCTGGCCTTTGGAAGGCTGGAAGTTCGTAACCAACTCACCACCAAGACCACCACGAGCTACCAATAATCTGTCTCCTGCTTTATTAAGTTGTCCTGAAAAAAGTCACCAGTCAGAAAACAATACAGCTCTTCTGCAACAGTTACAAATCTTGATTGGTAAGTAAATCTGCTAAGAGAAATTCTACAAGGCTTCCATATAAGCCCCCTTGTACAGGGTCACAGCGCATGTATTTTTTTTTTAATCAGAAAACAGGCATGCACCAAAAATTCAAATTCTCAGCACTAAATTCTGCTAGCTTTAAAGTGAAACTTAACCTATCACCCCTTGAAAAGTCTTAAATAGTATGGTATTTTGGAAACACCTGCTACTCAGTTGTATGCTTAAAATACCATCTCTTCCAAAATATTACTTTACAGACAGTCAAAAAGCTTGAGGCTGAATCAATTCAAACTGGCAGCTTCCTCCAAGCTGCATAGGTTGAACTGATAACCTGCTGAACTGACATTGTTTTTAATTGGGAAAGGCAGGGGGAGGTTTGCACTGACCCAGACCAGTAGGCAGGGAGCACTCGACTATCTCTCTCAGCCTGCTGGCCATTGCCAGCCCAGCCAAGTATCCACAACTGGCTCCCCAGGTACATGCTTCCAACCCCCTGCTGTCTCCCCACAGGGGGTTGAGGAGCCCCCTGCCCAGGTGCTGACCCACCTTGGGGGAGCCTCCTCCTCAGGAGTTTTCTCCCAGCCTGCGTTCCCCAGCCCAGGCAGCCCTGGGGAGCTGAAAGGAATCCCCACTTTCCCTTTCCCTGCTGCTGATTGCTTCTGCTGCTGCCACCGGAGGGCGGGAGAAGCAGTCCTCCCAGCCAGGTGCCTGTCCCTGCAGTCCCGCATGGGGGCACTGGGGAGTCCCTGCCCCTTGCCTTAGCTGCTGGAGTCTCATGGATAGTCTAGGAAGCAGTGGGAAATTCCTTTCCTCCCCTGCATTAGGTTAGCCTGAGACTCACACCAAAGGCAAAACTGGCTGCAGAGGAACAGGAGAATTTCCTTCCGCTTCCTGAAGTTGCCTGAGACCAGCAACGGTTAAGGCAAGGTTTGGGAAGGGAAAAATTCCTCTCGGCTCCCTGGGACTACTCTGGGCTGGGGCAGGGGGAAGCCCCCCCAAGGCAGGGGCTCCCTGATGCCCCCACACTAGGCTACATGGGCAGGCACCCAGCCTGGGGGACTCCTCCTCCCTCTCTTGTGGCAGCAGCTGAAGCAATCAGCACCTGGGGAGGGGGAGGGCTGCCTGGATCTGAAAAGCCCCCACCACAGGGGCTTTCCCTCCTCCCATGTGTTGTGTAGACCCTGGCCAAGGGGATCTGGTGGTCTGTTCCCCTGCCCCTATGGGCTGACAGATGAAGGCAGGAAGCAGGCTAAGGAGCAGAGGGGTGAAGCAGTCCCTGCTCCAATGGAGAAGGCAGGATAGATTAGGGCTGCAAAGCATCCTGGGATGCTGGAGGAATGCAAGTTAACTTGGACTGGGAAGGGATCTGGGACAGAAGTTCCATAAACCAGTTTGGGTGATTATGAAAGTGGTTTATGTGCTTCTGTTCTGTTACAGGTTTAAACCAGTTTCCAATCACTTAAACTGGTTTACATGCAACTTCTGTGCCTAGCCTAAGTATATAATAGCAAAAGTTATAAAAACTGCAGAAGTTAGCTGGATGTTGTTTGAACAAGAAAAGCTACACATGTCAATGTTAGACTTTTTTTTAGACATATCTATAATAATTTATTAATCAAAATATTTTGAATTTGAGAATGACAATCTATTATAGGTGCCTGCTGTGCAACTTATTTCCAGTAAGTCTTAAACTTTAGTTGAGACGGCTCTCAAGATGCAGAAATTCAGCAAGGACCTTCATCCTTCTAACCATGTTTTGTAGCACATAAACAAGTTATCCAAAGATCAGTGGTTCAGAGTAAATCTAACCTGGTTTTAACCTTTAATTCCTGTTTTCTTGTACTCTAGCTCAGTGCTTTTCAACCAGTGCGCCATGAAAAGTTCCTTGGTGTGCTGCAAGAACTGAATGTGAATGAACTGAATCAGATTTGGATCCGCTCCTCATCCCGCATCAAGGTCCCAAGAAGGATCCGAATCAGATTCAGTTCAGTCAGACTCAGCTCCTTCAAACTTGCACCCCGTCGCACACCGAGGCCTAGGAAAGAATCCAAAGGATCTGAATCTGATTCAGATCCTCTGTGTGCCCTGGATGCAGAGCAAACCCAAAAGAGCTGGATCCAGACTCGGGCCGTGCAGGGGTTGGGAGGCACAGTGCTGCTGTGTGGCTCCAATGTGAACACACGGGGAGGCAGGCCTGGCACCAGTGGGAATCACCTGAGGAGGGGGAAGGAGCTGCTGCCAGGCCCAGCCCTGCCAAGAAGCTAGGTGCTGAGCGGCCACAGCACATGCAGGTCAGGCTGGTGCTGCCTCAAGTCGGGGCAGCGTGGGACAAGTGGGGAGGCCGTACAGGCCACATACAGCACTGAGCACCCCCCACCCAGGACTCTTACAGAAGTACGTTAGGCTCTGTAAGGCCAGAGGCACCACGTGCTAGCAGAAGCCACGCTGGGGGTAGGGATTAGATTGAGCTGTGCCAATGCTCCTACTGGCACCAGCCCTGAAACATCTTAGCTGGAGGGTCTTGCCCCTGTGCTTAGGACCAGACCAACACTGTATTGAGGGCAGGAAGGAGTTTTACCCTTTGCTCAGATTGGTGCAGACTGGGTGGGGTTTGCCTTCCTCTGCAGTGGGGTATGGCTTCTGCCTGGGGTGTCTCAAGCATTTATTCACCACCTTTGCAGCAGCAGAACACTGGCTGCTGTAGTCCCCCTGCTTTACGTGCCAGGGGTGATGCCCGCTGCTGTGTCAGAGGTGATGACATAACTTCTGCATATGGGGTTTTTCTGGAATGGTTTGCACAGGCAGGGCTTGGGCTAGGTCCCTGCCAGCCCCTCAGCTCTAGGATGCTGTGATTCTATGCCACACTGCTAGTCTCCCAGGCAAGTAAAACAGGCATCTTCGCCAGAAAGTGTGGTGCAGTGGCTGCCTAATGCAGGGCACAGAAATGTCCCATTAACACTGGCATCTAGCACCAGCAAAGACTGTCTACACCCTGGACTCCCTGCCCCTACCCCCTCCGGTGCCAACGATGGTACCAACATCTGAAAATCTGTAACAGATGTGCCGCAGAAAATTTTTATTAATGTAAGTGTGCCTTCGGCTGGAAAAGCTTGGGAAACACTGCTCTAGCCAATGATACAAATTGACCGATAGTTACATTACTGGAAGGATCCTCAGTTATTGGGAGTTTCCTCAATGTGTTTCTCGTCTCTTGAACATATTTGTCTAAGCATAGAAATCGGTCTGTTTTGTCTTTTAAGATTAAACAGCTCACAAGAAACAGTAGTCAGATGCACGCCAAATTTTTGTTAGATGCTAGTTTCTAGATGCCACCCATCTTGTATACAGATGCTTTAAAAAGAGGATAGAAAGTTCTTACCAATCTCTTCTCCATCATCATCAGTGACTGTAATTCCCAGAGGCACACCAACTTCGCAATCTTTTCCTTTATCACCTTTCAGTGCTCTTACACTATCACAAGTTAAACCAGGGTTAAAAGCATATAATGGGTATTTTCCTCCAAATTAAAACTATTTCCACCAAACCACGTGTGACATCCTTACCTACTGTTGGCTCCAGTTCCAGCCACAAACCGCTTGTTGGGATATCGGGCTTTAACGCTTATCAAGTTAATTTTTTCTCTAGCTACAAACCAGACGTCACCGCCTCTCCCTCCTTCTCCACCGAAATGAGGGTAGCCCATTCCGCCAGTGCCTCCTTTCACATGGACTCTCAGATTATCTACAAAGTTGCCATACTAACAAATAACATGAAGTCTTTCATTAGTCTTTTAATCACTGCTTAAACATATACTGTTTCCACGGCCTCTGGACACAGAAAGGTTAATAACAAGAACCACTGTGGCAATAACCAGTTCAGGACCCCAGTATGCAAGACCCCCTCACTCCAGATCTCTGCACTTTCTACTAAGGGAAACCTTTGCTTTCATCACTGCCTGGTACTGCACACAGGGCTAATAAGAGACAGCAGGTTTGATTCACATCAGTTGTGTGTGGCATCAAATCCAGGCCTTGCAGGGTGGACCCCTGACAGAAGAATTGTAGATAGGACGGGGCTTGGCAACATCACCAAGTCCAGCGCCCTGCACTGGGCAGGAAGACAACTGGGGTCAAGTCAGCTGCACAACAAAAGGTAGCCACGGGGCTGGCTGGGGGGGAAACCTCGCTTTCATTACTGCCCCCGCGCTCCTCCACCGCAGGGGGCTGGGCAAGGGAAATCCTGGCTTGTTGTCCCACTGCTCCAGACCCCTCTGTGGCCTGGGGCGGCAGGGCAAAGCGCTTCCTGGCTCGGGCAGCCCCGCGGAGCTGGGCTGGGGACCAGACACCGCGGTGCTGCCGGAGACGCACGGGCAGCGGACGCCCAGCTCCGCTTCGAGCGGCTCACGCCATGTCGTGGCCACTGACGCCCGCCTGGAGGTAAGTCCGTCCCGCGGCTCCCTCACGTCCAGCCCCCGGGGTCGCGGCCCGGCCCGCACTGACCTTCCGTAGCAGCGCGCGGGCGGCCCGCACCATGCTGCGCCGGAGCCGGCGCCGGGGCCTAGGCCGCGTGAGGGGAGCGGCAGAAAGCGACTCGCGTCGCTTCCACTGCGGAAGGGGGCGGAACCC